CGCGGCTTCGGCCCCGCTGCTCTTTTCAGAACCCGCGCATCCCTTTGCCTGCAGCCCAAAGCTCAAAACCCAGGCCTATGGTGGTCCTCGCGTCCGCAATCACGCGTGAGGGCAAAGGGGGAGAGGGCAAGAGAGCAGAGGGAGACTGGAGAAGGGAACCAACGGGGTTAAAAAAAGAGAGAAAACAAAAAACAAAAAACGAAAAGAGAAGGAACGTAGTAATGATTCATCCGTAAAGAAGTCTGAAGAGGGAGGGGAAAGAGGACTGGAAGGGAAAAGGAATCTGGTCGGCTTACCTTTAGATTGCAGCGCGGCCGCTCTCGCACCTCCCCAAACGCGCGCTTAGGTTGTCCGAGGACACTGAGAACAGAGGAAGGGAATCCCTGAATGAACCCAAGGGAAAGTGTGAAACTCCAGCAACCGGAACTCTGGGTGGGCGAGCGGACTCCGCGCTCTGATTTCTCCCCCAAAGAGCCCAGGTATGCCGGCTCTGGCTCACCTGTGTGGCTGGTCCCTGAGGGGGAAATGGAGCAGGATCTGCGTCCATCCGGCACTCTCAGGAGGGCTGGGGAAGAAGGGGCCTGCTGCTCAAAACTGGGGACCCCGGCTGGTCCCCGAATCAGGGCCCGTACTGGAAGAGATGCCTGGCCAGACGCTTTCTCCCGAGCGGGGAACGTATGCCCCGAGGCGTTCTCTAGCAGCGAGGGCAGCCACGGTTTCCTGTGGTGCCAGGCTGGCGTGGGGCTCGGGAGCCCGCGTGGCGGGTCCACAGCGCGTACGCTCTCCTCCCCACCAGCCAGATCTCAGTCTCTCTCAATCAATCTCTCCCTCTCTTCCCCCTCCTTCCCTCCCTCTCTCCCCCGGCCTCTCCAGCCGCCCTTTTGGAAAGGAAACAGTCACTGTTGGATCCACTCGGGACCTGGAGCATGGTTTGACTGTGGCGCCTGGTCGGAGGGTATCAGCTTGCATTATTTTCTCTAGGACGTCTCCAACCTGTCTGTTGTTGAATGTCAGAGTAATGGGAAGTGCCAGTGACAAGACGGCGTTATTACTCCTGATTAAGTGCCGTGTCAACCTAATTAGCAGAGTAATTATAAGGTGCTAATGAATGATTCAAAGTTCTCTGAGTTACATTTTACTCCAAATTACCATTTTAAGAACCCCATGAATCTGAGTGTCAGGCATCGCTTCCGTGACTAGGTGCACAATGATGGTAGAAAGTGGCCTTTAAAGTCTCCAAGGGCTGGGCCAAAATCCGGGGTTTGGTTGCGGTCGGGAAGGTCTCTTTCCGGGAAACGGCTTTTTCTATCGAGGACTGCGGGTGGGTGGGCGTCAGGGAGGCAGAGGACCTCCTGGGACTAGATACTGCCTTTCCGTTGGAACTGCATCTGGGTGAGCCCTCGGTCCGGAAGGGGGTAGGTGGGATCTACCGCATCCTTCCTGCGTTTTCCTTGGGAATTCGGTATGTTTGACCCAGAAAAAGCCCGCGCTATTTCGAGGGGGTGCCGAGCTGGTTACTACCTCCGTGCCGTTTTCTCCGGGTCTGTCTCTGAGGAGAACAGCGGGGAGAGGAGAGACCGAGGCGGGGAGATGTGCACTCCGGGCAGCTCCCGCTCTTCTCAGAAGGCGAGGGGAGCCTGGCGGAGGAGCCGGGGTTGGTGAGCCGAGGCGGCGACGCGGGCTGAGCTGCAGGCCGAGGCTGACGCGGGCCTCAGCGAGTGCGGGGAGCCCCTCGGGAGAGTGTCGTGGGCCGGCCGG